TCTTGGCGGTATTAATAAACCCAAGCCAAGGCGAATCTAAGCCCAGACCAAAACCAAAAGCCAGACCCTCGAATTGTGTCACAAGGCAAGGGCAACGGCAATGGCAACGGCAACGGCAACCAAATGCCCTTTGTTGTGATTTACCCCTTTTTATCACTCATTTGGTGGCCTGTGACTTTGGCTGATGCTTTTCCGCTTTTTCCGCTACCTCAACAAACAATGAAGCTCTCCCCTCGCCCCTTTCTGAACTTGACCTTGATAAATTTGTGAAGTGAGCTTTTTAGCACATATCAAAACGGTTACATCTCAAGGGGGCGAGCACACCGAAAACGGGGGAGAGATTGACATTGAAAATTTCGCATCTAAATTACGTGTAGCAAATCGTCGGATGACGCATCTCTACTCGCCCCCAGAGAAAGCAGATATGTAGGTATGTAACGCGTATCTGGCAGATATACCTACATACAATACATAGGGGTGGCTGCAATTACAATGCCAAATGAAACGAAACTCACCCTCATCTAAATGTACATGGCTGTATCTGTATGTATATATGGGTGTATGTGTGGGAAGTCAACCCCCAAAAAGCAGAAGGGAAAGAGAAAAGTCTGACAGCCGCAATCAAAATGGGATATAAGCCATAAAAAGCAAATCCAGCAGGCCTTGGCCCTGGTGAATCACCATCATCATCATCGTCGTCCACAATTTCTCCAGACGGAATTTTCGGCAACCTTCAAGGACGCCGAGGCTAATCAGGAAACTCTGTGGGTGGACCTCTTCGCCCACGCCATCGCCACCGCCTCCCCCACGAAAGTGATAATCAAAATAAACAGGACTCAAGGTGGCAAATGTTAGGGGGTTTTGGGAGCGACAACCTTGAAATGTTTTGCCTACGAAAATCGATTTTACTTCCTGGAGGCTGGCTGGCTGTGCCCATAAAAAGGGTTGTCCTTGACGTGGAAGTAATTAAGGATTTATTTTGGCACAGGTCAAGGTTAGAAACTGGGTGTTCTCACCTCAACTTTGGGTTGCTCTAAATATTCAAAATACCCTCAGGTTGAATGAACAGACAGACACTGAAAAAGAAACTTCAATTCAAAAAGAAAGATTAAGTTAGCTTTTCATATAAATAGTTTATATTTTAGCTTAATTAAGTTAGAAAGTGAAAACCTTTCTATGAGTAGCGTCATAAAATCTGATAGAAAATACCATTTTCCTACTTCAACTTTCATTTTCCCACAGTGTCTGCCCAAAGTGGAGCTGCTGAAGGGTTCGATGTAGGGGCTATATAATACATCAGCCTCGACAAAGGGTTGCCAAAACTCAGGGACGCACATAAACCAAACTTTTTATGGCTCATTAGGAGGGGTAGAAAATGTCGAGGGGTTGTAGCTGTTGTTGTTGTTGTTGTTGTGGTTATTCTCCAGTGGATTCCCCCCAAAAATGTTGTGTCATAAAAAAGTGAACCCTCCCCGCTGGCTCTGCCTCGACGTTGGGATCCAGAGATCCTACCACAAAGCCAATTGGCCTAGGTCAGTGCTCGGTTTTTGGCCCATTTGTGCGGTGTGCGTGTGGCCTTTTTGCGGTTAACTCAAATTCGAATTGGGGGCTACCTGTTGCTCGGCTCCCGTTGTTACGAGAACCACAGGACCAGGGACTGCACACCACCGCCCCTTTGTCCAGGTTAACAACAGCAAGTGAAGCACCGTCGGGCTTTTTGAGCAGCTCATTATGGCATCGCAGCAGCTGCCACCTGCCTGCCTTTTAATAAAAACTAATAGCCCCAATTAAGTCGACATGCGTTTTGTGCTTTTTCATTGTTGGCGCTAATAAAGTCAAGTCAACTCAACTCAGAAAAAGTATTGAAAAAAAAACAGAACACGATGCAGTTAATGGAAAAAGGCCAGCCACCAGGCACCAGGAACCTTTCAACAGGAAGCTACGAAAAAATTGATTTAAAGAAGGTTTCGTTGCGGGGCTCATAAACTGTCATCGATTTTTTTGGCGAGGAAATGACGAAGCTTTCATCACAGGATTTTATGCATGTGTATATGTATTTCACAGTCTGCAGGGTTGTTTTATTTTCTGTGTATGGGTGTCTGTGTGTGTGTTTGTGTTTTCTGGGTTGCCTACTTTTGGCCCTACTTTTATAGGTCGTTGGCCTTGTTTTTACGGCTTTTTGGGGGCTTCTTAAAGTCGATTGTTTGTGTTTTTCTTTTGGGTTTTGGATTTGATGGAATGTTTTTGTAGCTTGAATTAGGAGGAATTTATAGACTTAAGTCGCTTAATAAGTAATTTTTTTGATGTTTCGATTAATTTTTGCTTAACATGTTATTATGAGGGCTTTAATCAGAGCCTGAGTTCTTAAGCAAGAACCTTAGTGAAAATGTATTAATTGATTGATTTACTTTTTTAACAATTATATCAAACAACGCAAATTGATTAAGATTTATATCTTAATCCTGCCAGCATAAAACTCCATGCCCGTATAATTAAGTTCTTAAATAAAAACCTTGAAGAACTTTCTTGAAAAAATCTGCTTAACAATGTGAAATTCTGTTTTTTACAAACAATTATAGACATCGAAGCCCTCAAGTACAATCAATATATAAGATATCCGGATCCAAATTGATTGCCACTTTAAAACTCACAGTCACCTTTAAAGTATTCCCTCGCATTTTCAACATGAAATCTCAAACACAACTGTACCAAGTCCGCTCTCCACATAACATTGTCGTATCGGTTTCACCCGAAAACACCTCAAGATCTCGGGAAGCCTGCAACTAAATTTAGACGCCATCGAGAGCAACCCCAACTCGCAGTAATCCCAGATCTCAGATCCCAGACTCCAGTCCCCAGTCTCCAGCCTCCAGTCCCAGTGACATCGTCTCCGTCCTCCATTTTCAATCTTGTGGCAGGCAGGCAGTCTTTTCATCATTGGGGGGCTGCACTGGCACGCTCTCAACTGCGACTGTGAATGCAACTGTGTGACTTTTACTTCGGCTCTGCATTAAAATAATTGCTTCCGAAATGACAACTGCTGCTAAAATTGAAAAGTGCCCTGTACGCAGACGCATTTCGTTCCCAGTTCCCCGATTCCCCTATCCACCGATCCAACATATCCCCAGCTCCCTGATCTCCCCCCAAAAAGGTTGACGTTCTGGCAACATGTGTGCGCGCCTGCGCGTGCCAACAATGTAAATGCAGCCTGGCGATGGAAATGGCCATGGTACATGGCAAATGGTTTGGGGTTGATTTGGGGAGAAGCACTGAAAGAAAAACTTAAACCAATTATGATGTTCACAGGAATATATTCACAAGTATTTGATAGAATGTTGCTATGCCTAAAGTCGGCGAGACATGACTGGAAACAGCTTGTACCTGTACATCTCTTAAACTCCAATATATACAATCCCAAGATTAGATAAAGCAATAGATTTCTCTCAGTGTCTATGATGGCGTTGCTTATTCACCGTTAAGATGCAGCGGCTGTCAATCAGCCACCGAAAAGACCCAGACAAGGGCATTCCACAGGCACTCCTGCGAAGCTGTCTGGATCCGATTTGGATCCATATGTCGCCTCCTCCATTCCCTCTTCCATGCACTTTCCGATCTATTTTCGTCCAGCTGGAGGAGCTGGGCACGCCTGCGCACACACTCAAAAGTACATCCATAATTTCCATTTTCAATTTTAGTTTTCCAACTTTACCGTTCATTTCTTCACTTTCCCAGCACTTTGCCTAATGGTTCTTCTGAGACCCGATCGCGTCTCAGGCTCTCTTTTTCCACGGCTCTGATATTTATGGCCCTGGGCCGGAAATAGACTTGGAATTTGGTCCAACAGCCGGTTCATGCTTATTGGAATTATCTATGGTTTCCATATCCATATGTTCTTTGTACACCAAAAGTAATTTAATATGCCAGCCGATTCCTTTAGAGGTTAAATGTCATTATTCGTCCACATAGTTTTGAATCTGTGAGAGCATAAAATTGATTTTGGGGAAGAATTATGGGGATCCTGTTTTGAATGCTTCACAGAAATAGGGATCTTTGATTTATTAAGTACAGAGGAAGTGGATTTATTCTTTAACGTTATATTTTTGAACACATCTAGTGCAAAGGATCTCGGAGATATTTATTTTTAACTCCTACTAATATGAGTTTTAGTTAATGTCTTTGTTTAGCTGTTGCTGGTTCTTGGTTCATGTCATAGCTAATATACCTGATATTGCGATTTTCCTTATTAAACCACTAAATTGTACACCTCAAAAACTATCACAATTTGTTTTTGTGATAAATTTTTAACGAAATTTCCTAACATGCCCTTTTGGTTTACCCTCTGGAAATGTAAAAATCTCTATTAGTGTGGAAAACATACATTTCATATGAATTTTGTATGAACATCCATAATATGCACAAGCCCTGCTTATATTGGTAGATTCTTATTTTCTAAATTTCTGTATTTCATATTGTCAAAACTGGCCTAAATGGTGAAACAAAATTTTAAAATCTTTCCCTGTTCCGAATTCCATTGTTCCACTTCAAAAATGTAATGTACATCGTATACTTTGTTAATTTTACTTTACATTTGAACGCCATCTAGCCTTTACAAAAAGTTCCTTTGTTGTCCGCCAGCTGGCGACATAAATGGAAAACAATGGTTTGTGTCTGAATAATAATACAAAAGAGTAATGTAGAATACCTTAGGTAGACAAAACTTACAATTTGTATATTTCATCTATGTAAAAAAAGTTTCAAGGATGAACCGCAGCCAACTTTAGTTTTCGTATGCGAGCTTAGTTTGAAAGCTCATAAAAATATATTTTTATTTTATTTTATATTTTTTTAAAAGTCATTTTACATTAACCTTTTTTTTTATAGATTTTAGGACTCCAGAAAAAGGTATCTGAAGTAGTTTTCCAAAATGTATTTAAGATTTATTATAACATTACTTCTCAAATATACGATAAATTATTATATATATCTTTATACCTTTCCAGATCATCTTCGGAGCCGATGGTCAGCCCGTTCGACCCGATTCGAAACGCGGCCGGGGCAAAGGAAAGTCCTCCGGTGCCGGCAATGGATCAGTTAATGCCACAGGTATCGCCGCCGGCAATGGAACACCAACAACTGGGGTAAGTGACGTCAACGCAGCACCTTTATTGCCCAACCAAAAAGCCACCTCTCCGCATTTTATTCATGGGAACTAATTAAGTCACGCGACGACACTCGCAGACAGACTGTCTGCGGTCGAGGGATTGCCCAGGCCCAGGTCCCATACTCCGCAGTTCAAACTCCAAGCCAGACCCACATCCACATCCACATCCAGACCCTCAAACCCCAGATTCCAGATACCCAGACCCCTTCACGGGCCACCAGTCTTTTTTCGCGGCATGCCACAGCAACGTTTTCCACGTCATCACGCCCGTCGCCACTTGCTTTGTTTGTTCAGGCTAATGCACTGAAAAAAATCTTTGAAGCTTTTAATAATGATTTCTAAATATATTTATAAGATTTAAGTTCTGATAATATACATAAAATGGGAGGTCAATTTAGTAACTGAAGCTTAAAATAAAAATATCTTTATTTTTAAGTCCCAACATAATTATTCTCCGTGCAGAGTAGTCATAGCAACCAGCGTCGGGCGGCTTCCCCGAAAGGCAATCCCTGTCCCAGACCAAGACCCAGACCCAAACCCAGTCAAAGTCGCACTTCCAGCCCCGGCACCAGACAATCCCCGACATCCCAGACATAATCTCCGCCGCAGGCAACCGACCGCACGTAGCTGGGGGTCACCACCATAAAAACCTGGCAGAGGAATGGAGAAAAAATAACAGACGAACGGGGGCAGACAAAGTTGTGCCGCCGTGTTGACTTGCTCAAAGGCGAGCTTGTGCCACTTGTGCTGTGGATGGTAGATGTTGGCTGGTGGATGTGGATGTGGCAGCCACAAGCCGCACGTAGCAGCCAGAAACCAGAGGCAAAAGACCCAGGAGCCAAGGGCCCAGAGCAAAGAGCAGCCCGCAGCCCAGAGGATAGCTACCCAGCTACTTATTGTTGCCTCGACGTGGGTCTTCGCCTTTCGCCCGTCTCCGCATCCGTTGCTCGGGGAAACTCTCCATGGTACTCACTCACATTGCCTTTCTTGGGGAAACCCGGAAAAACGCCACTGGCTGCCAGTGACTTTGACCTTTGACGGTACGGAACGGATCGGTCGGGGGATTTCCCTTTCAGCAGCTCACGCAACAGCTCCTCGGTGTCAGTCCTCCAGTCGTTGCGATTTCAAGGTCGGCAACGTCGTAAAAACATGACACAAGCTAATACAGTGAATGAATGTTACTTAATACAGTGAATGCTAGTCACAAGGGTCTTGAGGTTTGGCGAAAATGACGGCATTTGAATGCGGGACACCCTTCTGGTGTGGCGCCCAAAAATGGAGGATACATTGGCAATAAAATCATACACGGCTAGAGTTAACGTAGAAGAAAGAAGTAAAGTGGCTTTTCTAATATCCCAATGAAGAAAATCGTATAAATTTAAATGAGGATTACTTTGGAAAATTTACGACAGCAGAAGGTTCATTAATATTTAATGGTATATTCCCCGCTACCTTAAAGCTCAAATTTCCGTGATGAGTTTTACTCTTTCCGCACACCGTGTTACCCCTGTGACAGCCCGTCTAGCCAGCTCATCACTCACGTCATTTTATGCAGAATGGGAGTGGAGTAAACCTTCCCCATCAGCCATCAGTCTAAGCCAACGATTTGTTTGGCAAGTGGCTTGTGGCAACATCTGCGTCTGGAGGCGACGCTCCTCCAATGAAGCGTTGATTATGTCGTCACAGCGACTGCGACTGCGACTTCGAGACTCCCCGCGGTGGCACACACATACAAACATAGAAGCCCATAAAAAGGCAGCCAGACATCCTCTCATCCAGCTGAATCCGCATCACGTGTGGCTCCGCTGGCCATAAAATCAGCTAGACGGCAACAGGTTGTCCTGGTCCTTGGCTGCGAATTTGCCAAGTTGAGTTGGTAAGAGAGGGGGGAAACCACTAGAAAATTTCCTCAAGTTTTGCGGCAGCCCTCTGTCTTTTGCTCTTCATTTTCCCCCGCTGAGTGCAACACTTGCAAAGTTTTCCTTTGGCAAATTCTCCAAAGGGGGAAAGTGAAGTGAAGTTTTTGGTGGCCCAGTGACACGGACACAGAAACAGAAACACGGCTACTACTTCATTTTCATTTTTTTTCTACTGCTACTGTTGCTGTTGCTGCCACCGAATTCAGGTCGCGTTGCATTTGCCTGGAAATCCTCCTGCCGCGTCCACCTTTTCCACCCACCCAACGACCTTTCACCGTGCACACGATGGGGACAAAAAAGAAATAACAGAGGGAGTCGCCGGCAAAGGCAAATCCATTGGCAGCACACGGGGCATTGGGATTTGGCCAAGGACGAGCCCGGAAAGCTGCAGCATTTCCATGGTCAGGGGCATTGGCACTGTACTCCTGCCCGAAGCCCCATTCCACGAAACTCTTTTGGCGGCACGCTTTGACGCTTGCAACGCGGACCAGGGCATCGCATCCTACATTGAGCAAAATGTTGGGTACTTTTAGGCCATAAAAATATGTTTAAATCAATTTCCCTAATTTGTGTCACAGATATCTGTCTAAGCCAGTTGCTTAAAACCCATAAACATCATTTAATATTCCTTATAACCTTCGTAGAAACTTCAATTAGATCCAATAAAAATCAATTATTTTTTTCCCGTGCAACTGTTGGCCTTCATGTTCATGTTTGCATGCAGTTACCAACATTTTTGGCCAGGCAGTCAGCCAGTTAGCCATTGTTCAGTCCAGCCGGGTCGCGGATTGGGTCGCATTGGGTTGAAATGGAGCCGCGCCATTGAGTTGAGTCGGGTTTTTGGCTTTGATGGCCTCCAGCTCCACCAGTCGGCGTTTCAGGGTCGCCATGTCGGCTCTGTCCTTTTGGCCAATGGCAACATCAGCGCCAGCGACTTGTTGCACTTCCCACACTCCCCACGGTTTTTAACCAGGTCTTTATCCTCTCCCATCTGGCTGCCAATCTGCATATACATGGGCTTATGCGGAATGCGGCTGGAGTTTGTCATCGCGGACAATGAGGACAGCACTGTGCTGCAGGAAATGGGTTTCTTTTGGATATATAATCCATTAGGATTATCAGCAGTATCTTTCAGTTAAGACATGAAGTACAATGACTCAATCAATCAACTAAATGTAAGAAAACTATTTGAAATCTCAATTCCAAGACTCCAATCCACAAATTACAAAAATCCAACTTTGTAGCTTGGTGCTCTGCACATAAACGATGCATTTTTTCCAAAACTACACCTCCTTGCACCCCTTCAGCACCCACCACCACCCACAGTTCTTGTTGTGAGTGGTGTTTTTTGGTTTTTTTTTTATCGCGTTGGCGTTTTTCCAGCTGGGAATGAGGCCATCCCAGCTACCGAATGCGGAGAACCGACCACCGACCACCGACTACCGACCGTCCAGCGCCCCTGGCAATTAGTCAACACATGCCCGGCGATGCAATCAGGCTGTCACAATGTTTGGACATGGACATGGCACGCAAAGCGGGGGGAGCATTGAGAACCCAAAGAGTGGTGGAGGGAGCCACTTCAATTGGCAGCCGACTCGTGCACTTAACGTCTAATTAGGCGGCGCCTGCTGAAAAGCCGCTCAACGGGTTCCTCGCTCCTCCAGTTGGCAATGTCAAAGCGAAGGCTTTTTAAGACTTTGGCCACACCTTGGCCATCACTCAAAAAAAAAAAGAGGAAAGAAGGAAAAAAACAAAGCCCCGAGAAAACAAACAAACAGAAGTTGCAGTCTGTGGGCCAGACATAATCGTAAATGCCAACATGTCGGCGCCAAGTTGGCTGGCATGGCTACCTCAGTGGCACAGTACCACCAACCGTGACAGCAGCAACATCTACGGCAGCACCACCAGCAGCAGCAACAGCAACAGCAACAGCAGCAACATGAAACACCAAGGGGACTCCTACGTGCGATGGCGATACAAGAGCTTACAAACAGCTCGTAAAAAACAGAGAAACAGACCCACGGCCCGTGGCATCAGCAACAGCAGCAGGCGGCAGGCAGACAATTTGTCGTCCAACTGTCCGCATTGGAGGCACCGGCAACACCAGGAACAGCAACAGCTACCCAGCAGCAACACTTGCTGCAGTGAGAGAAAAACTATAGAAAGTCCGAGGGTGTATAGCTTGATTACATATTGGAATAGCAGTCGTCCTAAAAATCAGGATTTTAAACATAATTGGTAGTGGTAGTAGTATTGAATCGAATTCCTTAGCATTTCTCTCAGTGCACTGGCTGGTGTGCCAAACTGTAAGAGGAGAAGGCGACAGAGCGACTTTTGGCACACGCAGCACGTGAGCCGGGCAACCTGTCTGCGGTGGCTTCTGTCCTTCTGTCGCCTCTGTCCTTTTGGTATGGCACTTCCCCATCCCCTGTCTCATTGCCTGCCCCATCTGCCATCTCCCGTCTCGATTTTCCGTTTATGAAAGACTAAAAGGACGGACGGACGGACGGGCAGGCGATCCCGTGTGGGTCTTAAGTCGAACAATGAAAGCGCTGAAAGCGGCCACGCAACTGTTGCTGCCACTGCCACTGCCAGTGCGAACGGGACACGCCTGCGGCACCTTCATTGAAATCCAAGCCAAGAGGGCTGGAGAAAAGGCCAAAATGAAATAAATAAAAAAGAGGCAGAGGCAAAGAAGCACAGGGAAAGCAGACCGATCCAATGTCAAGGTTGCGGCGTTTGTTGTGGGTCAAGGTCGTCGGCGAAAGGCCATGGAAAGACCCTTAAAAAAGCAAAAGGACGGACGCCTTCGTCTAATAATAAAAGGGGCATTGGGCTTAATTTAACCCTTTTCCGGGTTGATGTCCTTCACTCGCTCAAATCCCTGTGCCTCGTCCTTTGCGCCACGCGCCCGGGCACTTGACCCTTTTTGGCCGGCGACACAACACTGTTGCTCAAACATCCTTGAGCCAGTGAACCCAAAAAACAAAAAAAAAACAGAAAAAATAAAAAGGTCCTTGCCATCGCATCCTTGCTGGTGTCGTCAACCTTTTGTGGG